AGCAATAATTCAATCAGAAAAAAAAAGTTAAACTAATGATATTAAATGGAAATTGAGATAATTATCAACATCGTAATGATAAAAATAAAATGAAGAGAAAAAAATTAAACGAATGATGAGAAATACATGTTGATGAATTAAAGGAGCAATTTGATTAAGAAATTAGTTGAAGATGAAGTTAAAATCCTAACGGTGGCCTCATCTGAACATGAACTTGATTAACTATTGGTGAAGATGAGGATGATGATGGAAGATAAAAGTGAGAGAGAGAGAGAGAGAGAGAGAGAGAGTCATTTTGTATCTTCCTTGTTCTCTCTCTCTCTCTTTACAATTCATTGATAATTATAATTAGAGGTTCAGAGTTAATCTCTCTTACAGGTAACCTTAGGTAGAGAAATTTTTGAAACGAAAATTTTTCTCTCTCTTTTCCTTTTCATCTTTAATTTACATTTTCATCATCTTCATCTCTACTTATCTTCCAATCATCTTACACCTTAACTTCATCTTAATCTTTATTCAATTTTTCATCCTCATCTTTATATTGACCCAAGTGGCTTAGACTTGAATCGTGACCTTTGTTAGGTAAACAATCAATGGCAATGTTATTTACACATAGATTAGTAAACATCATCATCTTCATCTTCATCTTCATCTTCATCATCATAATCTTACCTTAAGGATTTATCATCTTCATCCTTCACTATTATTATTTATTTCTCATCAATGTATAAATCAAAGTAACGAGATTCAATAGATTCCCTCCCTAGATTTAATTGTTTACAATTACTTTTCCAATTTCAGTTAATTCCGTTATTATATCAGGTGAATAGGATATAACTGTTATTGTCGCGAACTGTTCAACTTTTTAAATTAGAAAAACTTTTTTGATTCTTTATTTAATCATCAAATTAAACTGTGGACTTGATGATAACTTTGATTGACCACATCAAAGTAAAGGTCACTTTCGGAAAATGATTATAACAAATTATCTGTTAATAGTTTATTAGGATGATTAACATTAGAAATTGATTGTTAGTTGAATATTAATTTCATCTTTCTAATTGGTGATTGATTGTAACACTTTGATTGTCTCAAACTATTTCTTTATGAATACATAAATTGATTTAAGATAATTAAAGTTAATCGTTCATTTAATTGCTCGATTTATTGGATTATATTATCTGAATCACTTGATAGCAAATTATTACCTCGTTTCTTGTTACCAACCAACTGATTTACAATTAACATTAAATTTACTTTTTTTCTTTAATTGTTACTTGTTGATTTAATATCGATGATGTAATTTTAACCTTTTCTCTTAATCTGTTGTTAATCATTTTGATTATAATGATTTGATTTTGTTTTGTCTTTCACTTTAATCATCTTCATTAACAATCTCATTTCTCTTACAACTGTTTAACTTGATGATTAGTTGAAAGTATAATTTACTAACAACGTAATCATAATAATATAAGAAAAAGATTTTAAATTAATTATATTAATTGTGGGAATTTCCCAGAATAAATTAATATTATTTATAATGAAAACAAAGATTGATAAAGAGAGAAAATTGTTTTGTTTTAAATTGATTGTTTTACCAATGGAATTGTTAATTTCACCAGTAAAGTTAATTGTTAAATTAAATGAGCGAAATGATAATTCAAATTCAAGAAGAGAAAAAATTTAGAAAAACAACCATCTAAAAGTTACCTTGCTTAGAGATTAAAGAAGAGAAAAGAAAACCAAAATCAAATTCTTTAATTAATTTTGAATAAATTGAATAAATAAAAACAAATAATTAATTCCAAATTTTAATTGCGACAATTTGATTGAGAAAAGAAAAAGAATTTAATTTAAATTTGGCTCTGCAAAATTCAGTTCCAATATTCGACAATAGGGTGAGTTAGTTTATAGAAGTAAAATTTCAAATTTTAAATTTTCTTGGAAAAGTCAATGAGCTTAAATAACGAAAGAGTAAAAGTTTAACCAATTTCTTTAATTAATTAATTAGTTTATTATTATTTGATTTGTTTATTTGATTGTTCAAGTAATTAGCTATTAAGAATTATTTAAGAAATGCTAGTGAAGAACCAACAATTTTGCCGGTCCGCTGTAAACTGTAAGTATCTCATTTGATTTTGGTTTTGTTTATGTTGCAAATTTTCAGACAAATTTCATTTGATTCAATTTGATTTAATGTTTATTTTTGTCTTTTTTTATTAATTGTTAATTTTGGTTAATTTTCAACATGTTTAGCTTAAGTACTTTTCTACTGACTAGTTAATTAGTCGAAAGAGAGATAGAAAAAGAAAGAAACAAGTAAAAGGAAAAAATTGATTTTCTGTTTGTGTAATGATGTATAAGAAGAACAAGAGATTAATGGCTTATAAATCCCTTTAAGAGTGTTTGTTAATTGATACCAAATGGATTAGAGCAACAGCTGATTTGAAATTCTTTTTCCGTTCTTATAAATAGGTTGATGCCGATTGTGGATCAGCGAGTTCATCTGCTTCAGCCTTTTCTCTTTCATCGCGTTTCCTTTGGTATTCGTCCAAATATTCAGCATAAACATGGTAAAATTCGTTAACCGCCTCCTGATCAATTCCTTCTCTGGCAGCTACTTCCTCCAAGGATGGACATTGGTCCATATCCGCGAAATAAGGGACATCACAAGTTCCATTCATATATTCGGGAACATTTTCTAACCCAATAAGATCATCGATATTGTTTCGATTGACAAAAATGACCAATTCTCGAATCTTGGGAGGAGTAAAGGTTCTAACCATTCGGTAAACAGCCTTGAGAACCACTGGCATCTCATAATAGGCCACATAACCAACGGACGATGGATAATTACCCTGGATGAATGACATGGTTTCTCTTAATGAAGACATATCCATGGCAGTCACGGCCGGATTACGACAATCATAAATCAAACCGAACTTCATTCGTGTTGAAAGTGCGATCCGATCAATCATCTCCAAACCAAAGATACAAAGACGTGTCATGAGAGGCATAAACTCTTTGGGCACCGGTGGAACACAAAGTCGAGAATAATAGGTGATCATACCTTTTTTATCTTTAACGTACATATGATTGGCACCAATTCGAAAGAATTCCTTTGGAAAATCAGTCTCTTTGATCGAATTGACACCAACTTGTTTTCTCCATCTCATTGATCGAACCAACATCTTAATTGCTTCATCTGCTTTTCCATCCTTCTCATCTAAATATCTCCAGACAAGATAATCATTCTCCATCACTCTGGTGTAATCATCTTTTTCGTACAAATCACAATTTTCCTGATATTCCTTGTCAAATGAATCACGAATCGATTTTACTTTCACAAAATCTTCATCACTCATTTCCCAAATCGATGTCATGTTTAACTAATTGTTTCTCCTTAACCAGAAGAATATTTTTTCACCAGTTAATTAATTGGAAACAGAAAAGATGATGATGATAAATGGATAAAATTCAATTGGATCAATTCACAATAATGAAAATCGATGATTTTAAAAAGATAATTAACTCGATGATGATGAAGATTCAAAAGTGAAAGAAAATCACTAGCATCTTTTGTCTTTAACCGAATCAACAACTTGAATCAGAAAATGGAATTGATAAAAATGAATGAAAAATTCGAATGGATTAACAATTTATTCGACTCATTAATTAACCAACAAAATAAATGACATCATGTAGAATTGATGATTTATTGAACCCTTTTAATTGTTGAGAGTTTCCTTATATCTCGCAATAAAAGGGACATGATGATTTAAATTGTACAAAGATAATTTGTTGATATTTTCCTGTTAACTTGGTAACAGTAGACGAGAAAAAAAAATGATTGTTGTTAATTGTTGATTAATTTGAATTTCCAATCAATTGTATCCCCTCAACATACTTTGTAAAATATACGATCCAGAGGCGATTGTTGGTCGACACATACAGAAACCCGCTCGATCGATGAACGAAAACTTGAAACTGAATTTCGCATGTTCAATGCACTTCGCAGCCTCATAATCGCAACCATATTCACTACAGGCGTGGACACAATAATCGTCGTTGTTATTTTTACACAGAATATTTTCACAATATTCACACGAAACTGTTAATGGAAAAGGAATCGAAAAAGAAAAAGAAAATTTCATTCCAATTGATTAGCTGATCATCACTTTCATAGAAATTGATGGAACTTGATGATCTTTTAAGATGAACAATTAACTTTATTTCCTCTCAATTAAAACAATCAAAGTGAAAACTTACCCATGGTTAATAACATGATTATTATTGAAACTTTGGCACAAACAATTGAAACTTTCTCCATGTTGATTGAATCTCATTCGGTTCCAAATGAAAGATCAATGACTGAATAGAAATTACAATTTAGTTTTTTTTTCTTCTCGTTACCGATCATTATATTAATTTCATTCGCTATCAAATTAACTAATCCCGCGTATTTGTAGTTCTTAAATCATTTAGGAAAGTTAAACACGTAACAAACTAAATGAAAATAAGCGTAAAATGATTACAATAATTAGAGTTAATTTTCTTATGTTTCTATAATTAGTCCAATCACCGTGATTGATATGGTACAATTAACTCTGCACTCCCTTTAAATTGAATGAGAAATTGAAACAACAATCAAATTAATGATCAATTTTGTTTTTCACCAAAAAAGAGACAATTAAATTGTTTTGCTTGAGGCTTTAAAAATAATTTACTAATCAAAATTGGTCACAATTGATTTTCAATATCAATAATGAAAATTAATACAAACATTTATAAGTAATTAAATCAGCTATAAACGGGATTAAACCATTATCACTGATTAAGAAAACTATTAAACAAATTAATCGCAATTAAACTTATCGCTGATAACAATTGTTGATCAAGACTTAAATCAACAAAGGATTTAAGTGAAAATTATTGATCTCAATTAATCAACATTCAATTAACATTCACGTTAATTGGTAATGACAAATAATCAAAGTTAATTAAAATACAATAAATCATTTAATCGTTTATAAAGATTGATGATAAAATAAGGGATCAGGGTGGGTGAAATCGCGGTGGTGGTGGGATAATTTTATATCGTTAGGACGATAAAAAGGTATTATGATTATACAAGAATTAAAGTTAATTAGTTGGAGTAATTAAAGATCACTATTTTCACTCTTTTTTGTAGTTTTCCGTTTTTCTTTGCTATTGATTGGCTTCTTGGGCTCCTTTTTGGAGGAAGATGAAGATGAAGAGAGAGGTGAGGATGAGGTTGAGGTAGAACCGGAAGGGTTCGCCTTTGGTGGACTTCCGTCTTGATTACATGTTTGAACGCAAGCATTTGCCAAGAATTCAGATCTCATGTGAAGTATTTGTCCGATCATTTCTTTCAATTCTTGATTCCGAATATAAGATAATATCCTTTCGAAATCGAAAAATTCGCCCAGTCCTGGTAGAATTCCGGTTCTTTTATATTCTATTTTCTCATATTCGAAGGCTTGAAGAACTAAATCAAATCGATCAAGTTCTTTCGTTAATTGTGCTTCGGCTGTTAATTGCTCTTCATATTCTGAATATAATGAGAGGAAATTATCGGTTACCGTTGATGGTAATAAAGAACCTGTAAAGAGAAGAGAGAGAGAGAGAGAGAGAGAGAAAGTTAATCTCATTGATCTAAAATGATTAACCATCTTATTTGATCAAAGGGTTACAATCAATCGGATTAGCTAATTGTTGGATCAAGGTAATGATTAAAAACTTGAGACTGTAGCTACTTATTCATTTCGCTATCTACTAGATTGTATTAATAGATTTTCTTTATCGATTTTCTTGAGTATTAACAATTAATACCTAATTAATAGATACAATTAATACTCTCATCACCTAAATTCAATCAGTTGAACAATTAACTTGATGAAACATTTCAAATTGGTAAAAGGCTTGATTAATCTAATTGTTTCTTTGATTATGTTGAGAAAATTTAATTATCAATCCTTTAACTTTCTTGAGATCTGTCAAAATCTCAACAATTGTAAATCATGAAGCTGGATTAACTTAATTACCTCTAGTGTTACATGAAATTAATTAATCAAGTCTCTTAATCAAGATAAAGTTTTAAGTTATTACTTTTCAATAGCAATTAACTTTTTCCAATCGATTGGATTTAGATTAATAGGAAATTGTCAACAATTGATTTTAGTGAAAAAACTCATCTAACAATCATAAGTTAATTGTGAAAAGACCGTAATTAAAGTTAAATGATTAAAGACTATGACTATTAATCAAAGAGCCAATCAATTGTTTGACTAATTGTCTACAATTACTCAAGATTAATATCACTTTGAGATCAAATTAATTGTATAATCAAAAGAAACTGGACAATTGAAGATCAGTAAATCAGAAATGTTTATCTACCAATTAACTAATTCAATTATCAGTTGTTACATATTAACAATTCAACGTTTTCTTTTGTAATGGAAATGATTGATTAACACAATTAACATCTTCCAACATTTAACCGACTTGATTAAATCTTATTGAAAGAGATCAACCAACTTAAGCAATTCAATATCAAGGTGATTGGTAAATTCTGGTAACAATTATAATTGACTCAAGAAAAAGTAAATTGTTCAAGTTGATTGTTAAGAGAAAGAAGAAAAGAAAATTAAATTAGTAAATTACGATTCGTAATTAAACAATCGGGATTTTGCTTTTCATTCAGTCAAGGTGAAGATTAAACCGTTGGATTGATTGATTGTTGCGCTTTTTTTTCAATTCAATTTTTTCTCAATTAAATCGATTTTTAATTGTTCTGATTTTCTTCATTCACTTACTCAGGTATTGGACGGCATTCTCTTCCAGTCGATGTTTCTCTTCGGGTGATATGTCGTCGTACGGAGTAAAATCACCAACGATGCATTCGGCAATATCATGGACCAGAGATAATTTAATTACTTTATTAAGATCAACTTTGGTTGTATTGCTGGTGGACAATACGAGTAAGGGTATGATGGCCATTCGATACATATGACCAGCGATTCGTTCAGGTGAGTGTATCTTATTTAGAATCCAACCAGTTCGTTCAATTTGTTTTAATTTACCAACTTCCATTAAGAATTTAATTTTACCAATATTTTCAGTCTTCGTTGAGAATCAATTGAATCGGAATGAAAACAATGAGAACAATTAATTTTGTGATCATTTAAATTCATTTATGGTGATAATTACCTTGCTTTGGTTAATCTGTTGGCGATTGTATAAAGCTTGATTTAAATTAGAGTCAATTCTTGTTTCATCTCTAATGTGGCGACGGTTAATTGACGATTCTAATATGGTTGAATCAATTGTCTCATCCAAAACTGGTGATGGTGATGGTAATGATGATGACAACAATTCTTGATGACTTGAACCAGCTCCGGGTGAGGTTAATGGTGATGAGGATAACCGTTAACGAAAATATCATCGCCATTGATTAAAAGGTTAATGATGATTAAACTAATGGTGATAATAAATGTTGACCTTGCATAATAACCACAAACAGAGGACAAGAGGGTAAATACTTTCATTATAATTAAATTTCTAGTAATTATCACAACTCAATTAAAGAAAATGACCTAATATAATTAGTTAATTTCAATTAATTAGAAAGGTAATGAGATGCAAGAGTCTGAGAAGCAACAAGAAAAAGGTATTAAAGACAATCAACTGAAAAGGTAAAGAAAATTAACTCATTAAATTGATTAGGGACTTGAAAGATTAATAAAGAGAAATAATTAAATTAACATCAACGTTTTAAGGTTAAATTTGTATATTAAATTAATTTCAACAAGAGTGTCAATTTAGAACAATTAACTTTTAAAATACAAAGAGAAAAAGAAACTTGATTAACAATCGATCATCACCATTTATACTTACAATTATCTCTTAATTGTATCTCTTTCCCTCTCTCTCTCTCTCTCACTAATGTATATTTGCTCTTGATCGTTTCTCTTTAATCGCAATCAATCAATATATGGTTTAAATATCTTCGTCTTAATCATACAAATACTAATCTTATCTTCCTTTTGTCTTTACAGATTTGCTACTCCAATTGTCACAATCATAACAATCTTCATCTTGTTTACCTTTTTTTACCGTTATTTTCACAATAATATCATCATTATTTGCTCGTTGGTTAAACAACTAGTTTTGGTTTTTTCTTTCCTCATCAATCTCTGTGTCGTCTATGTATTTATCTTACATTAACAGGATTAATACACTATCAAATCTTTTAATACAAATCCCTTGGGTGATCCCTATTATCATTAACTTGATCATCATCATCATTATCAACATGATTGGAATCATTGATTTTCTGTTTACCTTTTATTATACCAAACTGAATCATTCCAATAACAACAATTGTCCAAATTGTGATTTCTTTTCATTTGTAATCAGCTTTATGATGGTTCGTTGTGTTTGGCTTGAAAATTTTCCATAATCAAGTAAACATTATTATTATTAAACCAATCAACTGATAAACTTCAATTAATCAACAATTGTAAACATTAATGGACTGTTTTTCAAATGGTTAATTGTTTCTTCATGATAATTGTGTAATTAGTTTTTTCCAGTGTTGTAGTTTATCAACAAGACTATTAATAAGTCATACGACTTCGTACTGATTGTCAACTTGTTTAGATTGATTGTCGTAACTATTAACCTTCAAATTAACCTTAATCATCAAGCTTAATGATTAAAGGAAAGGTTCATTCCTACGATAATTATCAAGATACAAAGATTAATTCATTTGGATTAACTAAAGATGATGATTAAGTCTTTAGATGCCGGTGATTTAAATCTGAGGTTTTAATAACAAAATCAATTATATTAAAGTAAATAGCAATAGGGATCAATTGATTTACATTAAATAATGATTAATCAGAAACATTAAATAACAATCAAATCAACCTTTTATTATATTGTTGATTCCTCTTTAAGGATCATTAACTTGATTAGTGTAATGATTATAAGGTAAATGAAGATGATGTTTCTCATTTCATCATTAATGTTAACCATCATTATCATCATGGTGATGATTGTTTTTCCATGGATTATTTATCTCCACCAAATTATGTATGATTAAAATTAATTTAATCCTAATCAGTGAGGAGATAAATCAACGATGATGATCAATGAACAATGATCAAGTCAATGAAGATGAGGATAAAGACACTTAACCCATCGGAGATTTGATTATCTCGATGCTCAATGAGTGTGAATTTCACCAAATGAACAAAGAGAAAAAAAAATCATCATGAAACTTCATTTATGTTATTCTGTTAACGGAAAACACTTTAGATGATAAATAGACGAAGAAAAAAAAATGATGAAGATTAAGATTAAAGTTCTGGGAACTTGTTCATCTTAACCTTTTTCTTGCTATTCTTTGATCGTTTCATGAAGAAAAGAAAAACTTTTTCATGGTGAAAATTTCCCAACCTGAATTTCCTTCAATTCTCAATGGAATTTTCTTTAATCTCATCATCTACCTATTCATTGCATATCCCTTGAGTTATCATCATGATCATCATCATCATGGTGAAATGAATAACAATTAAGATTCCCAATTGAACTTTTCCCCCCCTCATCGTTATCAAATCCATTATTGTATCTATTGGTTAATATGATTACAGCTATTAATTTGATCACTAATTAGTTTTCACCACTTATTATCGTCTATTAATCATTCTCAGCTATTCTTATCCATAATTATTGTACAAATTAATTGTTAAGCTAATTAATCCATCATAATTTGCAAAAAAAACTTCCCTGTTAACTAACCATAAATATATTATCAAATTTTCAGCCTTTCATATTAATAATATTACACAATTTTGTGTTACAATTAAAAACTTTTAATTAATCATTACGATTGGAATCGTTTCCTTTGATAATACATTTTAATGATACAATTTAAATTGATTAACTTGAAACATAATTACCAATAGAATAATAATTCTGTTATTGTTTTAAATTTGATTCTAATTTTGTTCAAAAATCAAACATAAGTTTCGTTAATTGAGTGCATTGAATTGGTATCGATATTGTTATTATTGTTATTATTTGTATTGTCAGTGGTTAGGTTTAAATTGTTATTATTAATATTAATTGTATTATTGTTTACATTGGTGATAGCAACTGAATTAAGATTCATATTGTTATTTAATCTTGCCTGACAGGTATTGGTGTTGGTCAGTCTATCTGATTGAGCCATTTTTGAGCAATGAAAAACTTGACCCAATTTTTTGCGAAACTTTTTACCAAATATACAATAGATGACGAAATTGATTGATGAATTGAGGCAAACAAGTAGATTACTGAAAATTACCGCCAATTCGTATCCTGGGGCATTAAAAAACTCCATACAATTGACAACGAAAGCGGGTGCATTACAGGCTATAAAAATGGACACTAAAAGTACCAACATAGAGGCGATGTTTAGTTCCGTTTCCTCTTGGTTTGTCAGGGTGGCTCGATTTCGTGAGGCTCTACGAATGGCTTTGTATATCTCGGTGTTAAGAGCGGTTAACAGGGAGAGTGGGATAATGTAGAGAAGAGCGAGATTAAGACAGATATAATATAACCAATAATAGAGACGATTTTGTCGAAGTGCAGTTTTACGAACTGATTGACTGCCCTCAGGGGTTGTGAAAACTTCTATTTCTAAGAATCGAGGAATATTGTACAGAAAAGCTCCAACTGAGAGAAAAATTACCGCCCAAATGGCTCGATTTCGATTGGAAAATGTTCGTATACGAAAAGGGTGACACACGGCAAAGTATCTTTCAGCGGTGATCAAACATGTTGTCCATATTGATCCTGTTTGGGCAATCAAAGCCATTGGATAAACGATGGTCACATAATAGGGAAGTGGATCATCGGGTACTTCGGTGTATTGATTGGGTGCAGGGTGAATTGGGAAATATTGATCTGGGTTTTCACTTGAAACTGAGAGTGATGATATTGTTGGATAATATTGATGTTGATGCTGATGATTCTCACCAGATAAAGATGACGATGCAAGATTATCTGGATGATAATAATCACTCAAAGAATCAATTATCGATAACGGTAATGGTGATGATGCTACTGAATTAGAGTCAATTAAACCATTTGGTAACCAAGATGTTGGTCTAATTAGATTTAAAATTGATCTGTTGGCTATCGTTGAGGTGGATAAATTAAAATGAGAGTCAATGATTGCTCCAAAAGTATTAGGATAATCATAAGAACCATTGAGATTTATATCACCATTGTTACTTTTAATTGAGTTAACTGAATCATCAACAATCAATGGATGATTATCATCATTTTTGAAAAAACTTTTCGATTCAACAAGGTATCGAGATGATGAAGAGGAAGACAAAGGTGTAGAAGATGATAAAGGTAATAACGATGAGGTATAAAAAGATGATGATGATGATGATGAAGGCGATGTTTTAATCATATGTACAGATGAAGAATCTGATACTGTTTCCGGTGGGCCACTCACTGGAAAAGATAACGAATCGATTGATGGGAACACCATGGATGGAAGATAATCACTTGGATTCTGTTTGGTGTTTGTCACCAATGCTGGTATTCCGAGCATGAGAAGAGCGTTAATCAATACTCCATTGTCGTAGATTGCGAGTACAGTCAAATAAACGTTGATGGGTTGACGTCTCATCTCATTGAAAGCATTCAAGATGAAAAGTGTCACTGTATTAGCCGATATACCAAACAGGCACATTGATGTTAATAAAACACCATAAAAATAAAATTCAACCCAAGGTTCAACTCTCATGATGACTTATACCCCTTGACTTACTGCTGATTAGTTTAATTGTTGATTGAATTGAATATTTATTCCATTATATTAACATTTCATCCATTTCACAATCACAGGGTTTACTTTAATCCGATTGGAAAATGCTGAAAATATTAGATGAAAAAAAAAGTAATTATATTATATTAATTTGCCATCAACGAATAAAAAATCGCGCATCTTCAATATCGTAATCCCATAGATCTAAAGATTCTGAGCTTCTTTACCTGTCTACGGCTTAATTCAATTTAAATTGATTGCATCCGTTTGAATTCATCAAATCACATCATGATCATCCTATTGATTCTCGTTTGTATTCATATAAAGGAAGACAACAAAGAAAAAGGAAGATGAAAAAGATGAAAATTCTGTATACATATTACCATGGAAATGATTTTTTCGTACAAAATACAAAGCAGATTATCATAGTACATGTATACGAACTGAGATGGAAAAATATGATGAAACTTCAAGAACAAGATGGTAACATGAGCAAGAAGCTAATTCAGAGAAATTGATGAAAGTTTCTGAACCATGAGTTTTCAGGGAATTTGTTAAATCTCAATATGAGTTATGAGAAAAGGGGTTCGAGCTG